GGGAACACAAGCAGGGGGAGTGGGAGAGGGAGAAGCAGGCTTCCCGCAGAGCAGGGAGCCCGATGCGGGGCTCAATCTCAGGACCCTGGGATCATGACCTGAGCCGAAGGCAGACGCTTAACAACTGAGTCACCCAGGCACCCCTATGTTCTGGTTTCAATATGATGCACCACATGTTGCTCTTTATTTCATTCACACCTGCTGGGAACATCCAGGGTTCTCAGGAGACTGGTGTCCTTAAGTTTTGTGAAATTCTTTTCTACTATTTCCTTCATCATTTTTTGTCCTCTCTTTTAATCTTTCTTATTTTCTCTTTTTTCTTCTTTTTTTAATCTCTCTCTCGTATTTTCTGGAGACTTCTCAACGCTGTCTTCTAACACTTGAATTAAAATTTTAATTTCTGCAATTGTATTTTTAATCTCTGTGTTCTTGTTCTTTAATTGTTCCTTTTTCTAGATACTTATTCTTGTTTTATGGATGCGGTCTCTTTTGGATTTTTCTTAGGATACTAGAATTTAAATTTTGCAGTTTTTAAAGTTCCCTTTTATTTTCTGAACTATCTGTTTTCTCTGGGATTTGTGGTTGTTGCTGTTGTTTGTTGTTTGCTTCCCTTAGATCCTTGTTTGTCAGTTCCTATTTTAAAAGTGAGGCAACAGGGGCAGCCAACTTTGAGAACTTTGTACATGTGGGCAAGTGTTGTGGGCTGGCAAGCTTCATTTTAGAGCTCTGGGGTAGCAAGCTGAGTATTATCCTAGGAATCTCTATAAGCAAGAATGTTCGTAGAGGGTTGTTTTCTCCAGGACCTTGTAATTTCTTTAAATAACTTTTTTGTTTGTTTTCCAAGGGATGGATGTGGAGGCAACTGTTCCATGTACTGGCTGGTTTTTACTTCCACAGCTCATCTCATCTGTCCTGGTATAATCAATCTTTAGGCCTCCATATGAATCTGTTAGGAAAATGGGCTCTCTCTGCTCCCGCTCGCTGGCTGTCACTTCCTCTTCTTCCTCACCTGCATTCAACTGTTCTGGTCCATAAACTTGCTGAGGTCTCCAATCCACTGATCCTCCTCTCCCATTCCCTATGATGTTGTGGGTTTATACCATTTCAATGCCTTTACTGCCATCTAAGTGAAATCCAAGGAGAGAGAGAGAGGGGACAACTGGGTGTGACCAATTTGCATGTTTAACTGAAAGTCCATCCATTTCTAGTTTACAGGTTTCTAGCCCAGGAATTTCTTTGACTGCCCCTGGGCAAAATTGAGTCTTCCTTGTCCTGGGTCCTGGGTTCCTCCTGTACTTTGGGATCCCCCTATTCCTCCAACCTCCACTCCACCCCCCACCTACTGAGAGTTGTAATTGGCTTCTCTTTCTGGAATCATTGCAGGTTGGGCTCTGAATCCCTACTGACATTGGGACTGAGCAAGTCTGTTTGGGGAGAAGTCACTCTGGGCTTCCCAGCTTTTAAAAATCACCATTACTCCCAGGGCGTGCCAGAGGCAGGGAGATGCCAGAACTCTCTGTCCAGTAGCTGCACACACCCTCATTAGGCACTTGGAATGTTACAAGATGATTTCATCAATGTCATAAAGAGACAAGCATTAATTGCATTCAGTGTCTGGATCCAGAGTACCGGGAACCTGAGATGCCTAGGGGAAAAAACAATGAGCAGCCTCTGCCCCGTGACACCCTTCCTCCATCCCTTTCTACCTCTCTCTTGGTGCTTCCTCGTTCTTATTACCCTGACACAGATATCAATATTTCCAAGTCCAGCCCTCAGGAGGCTTCTGTACTCCAGCTGCTGCCACATTCAACCAGCCTTGATTAAACATCAAATACGTGCCCAGCACCATGAAACCAATTTTCCTAGCCCTCACAACTGCCTTGGGAGGGGGGTATTATTATTCTACATTACTGATGAGGAACTGAGGTCCAGGGTGGGGCAGTAACATATCTAAGGTTATGACTGGCAGGTCTGTCATGGGAGGTCCTCTCCTGGCTTCTGGCCTAGAGCTTT